AGTATATGGTCTAATAATCAAGTACACTTGACACCACAAACATGCATAAGATCACATCGGTCATGTGTTGTTCACATACTGGAATTTCATAAATGCCTGCAGCTTTAAGAAATATCATGGTACATGTTCCGAATCGGATTGACTTCACTTTCACAAGACTGACACCCATCAGATGACTTGATGTAAATATGTTTCATCTTCCATCTGGTGAACAGTTTCAATGGAATGATGTTCACAGTGATGCTGTCAATCGGAGCCTAGTATATAATTCGCGCTGTACGTTGAAACGCGTTTATGCATAACACAAGGCACTTCCATTTTGATTGAATTATGCTGTCTGATGTGGGATAAGCGATGTGGATCAGAATGAGAGAGTAGAATATTTGATTCAAACAACTGAGTTCCAATTTCCACTGATCTCACGGATAGATTCCACACATTATCTGAAGATCTAACGCTTCATTTGTTTCTCTTATCTGATCAAGATGGAAATTGGATATTTCTACCAGAATTGTTGTTTAGAATGGAGCTGTTATTTTCATCATTGTTACAATTAAATTATTTCTAAAGTAATATTATGAGAAATAGTAATAATTATACATAAGAATTGTAACGCGTGATGCTGACCTCAAATAACACAAATATTTCTTCATTCTGTAAACAATCACGCGTTACCAAAATCACCTCATTTGTAGGGTGTTCATAATCTTTACTAAGCACTATTCAACTAACACACTTGTACTAAGCATTATATATCACTATGTGGTGTGTATCAGTAACACAAATAATTCTTCTTTCTATAAACAATCATGCGTCTGCACACTATTCTATAATCAATATTCAGTTAGCACACTCGTTGCTGATGAAATGCACCTGTCTCATTCATTCTATCACTTCTGGAAATGAACTGATGTGATTAGTTATAAGAGAATTCTAGGTTCAGCTTTCCGGTATGTACATTAAAGCACATATGGGTGTTTTGTTTCAGTGTTGGACGACAAGTTATGTATTTTTATCATTCCCTTGCGTTTCGAGTGGAGCTTCGGACTTCAACTACATATCTCCGCTTCGTTCTGTTTTCTGCCCTCCACTTCAGCTGTGTCAAGGATTGACCAAACTCTCTCATCTCTTCCTCACAAGATATCCTTCATGTCACTCCTGCACAGACGACCCACTCGTCAATTCCCATTCGGATTCCACTAGAGCAACGGCCTGGCGTGCGGTGTCATTCGGTGGCCACTTCAGTGCATGCCCGACCCACCTCTGTTTACTCCTACATATTCGTTGAGCGATCGGCTCTTCGTTGACTTGTTCTCAGCCAGAGTTTCTTGTGGCATCCAAGTTGCATTTACAGGACAGCATATGATTTCCAGGCTCATAGGAATCCATGTTGTGCCTGACGTGCACTGACACACCAAAATTAATCCACTTTCTCCTGAAACACAAATATTGTTCATTGGAAAACTCAGCTGGCGAAGTCACTTACGATAGACTATTGCAGAGGGACATCAAAAGTGTTATGAATAACCTTCAAGAACCCAACGCATCACTCACAATACTTGTTGAGTAGTTGACTTCAATATCGAATGATTTGATTCACATGTCCTTATTTACATCCACCTGCACTGATGAAAGACGGAGTTCACTGGTGACAGAATTTCGGGAGTTTCAAATGTTCGACTAGTGAAATATCCTAAATGCGTCAAAGTGACTTCAAGAGTGTCAATAACTCTACTGTGAAATGCACCCTCAACAGCATCAAGCTGCTGACTATATGTGGCGAGAATGCATCCTCGCTAATCTTCATAAATTCTCACTGTGTATTGCAGTTAGGAGGTGTTTGTGGAAGCAAATATGTCGGTCGTGCTGGGTGGTGATTGATCAGTGAAACACATGAGGCTTATGCTATGTGACGTAAAAAGAGTCAAATGAGTCAAACGAATCATATAAACTGTCTGATTAACTGTGTGGATGATAACCGCTTGATGATTGGAGGCCAAAAAAACTGAATCAAATTTGTGCAGTATTGCGTCTGGGGAGAATTTTCATTGAAACAATGTGCTAATCGCAGGATGCATTCTGAAATCATCTGATTATTGCACGAGGTTTGAGTGACACAGCGTCATCCATTGTCACTGCTTCCTTGCACCAACTCTTCACATCCACAACCACTGCATTCACGAGTGGTGACTGATTTCTATGTAAGCATTAGACAACAGGAATAAACAGGGCGAAATTCAGAGGACGCCTTGCAGTGAGTTGTTCAGATAGGCATTTGACCGAAAGTATTGTCATCAATCAGAATGCATGAGAGTATGATGGCACTTTGATTCCTTGGGAGACGATGTACAACTAATGGAATATCCTCCTGTTTTTGGAAGTATGAGATTTATTGTCTGAACATTTTTACGAAAACGTAAACATACTGAAATCCATCGTGAATTTTCATTCTGATGAGAGAATAAGACGAAGAGAAAGTGTGTCATCTACACCAACCTGAACGGAAACACTAACGCTAAACACTGAAACGGAAATGTAGAAATTGACTGAATTTCTCAGTGGATGGTAACTCAGGTGATGCTATCAACGATGACTCTCCAAATGTCATCATCAACATTTCACCAATTATTAACGTCTGTCTAACCAATATTACGTAAACTGAAATGCTCAACTCAGCGTGTTTCTTCGCCTGAATGTACCTACGAGTGTCAAATACGAGTTCGAATAGGGAAAATAAAGCATTCGATTATAAGCCCCTACTGTTCGACACGAAATGCTTCGTTGACAAATGTTCCTCGAAAGGTTTCGCAACCGTTTTTTTACTCCAAATGGCATTCTGTTTGAAAGTTCGTCCACCTATTCTTCCGTCTACACATTACATCTAATTTGTCGTGTTTCATTATTAATTATCAGATTTTGACGTCACATTGTACCACATATTCCCAACAGTTCATAAAATGTTTACAACCAAGTGACTTTCAAGGCTCTAAGATAGCTAAGAAAAGTCATCATCGTGGATGGCAGTGTGCTTGACAATGGACACTCGTATATCGAACTACTGTTCTTGGTATCGTAAGTTCAAACTGCCGTTCTCTTCCTAACAAGATTATGCATCAGCAATCTCTCCTATCATCTGATGATCATACAACACGGCTATAATCAAACCACAAGAAACATCGCTTCATTAGCTCTTCTCACTAAAAGGTTTCACATTATTCAGACAGACTCGACTTCGTACCATAAAGGGACGTGGCAGTGGAGATGCAGCTTTTACTCATTCCCAGTAGTCATTTTCAAACGATGCATTTCTTCCGATCTCGAGTGACTTCATTGCTTGTATTACACTCACGTGCGTCGCAAACACTTATCAAAGTGTTAATACATTTTCATCTCGATCGTTTACGTTACGCCTGAGCAGGCGAAACTTGTCACCGGCCCAGTTCCAAAGAAAACCCTATTCATGAACTTCGAATTCAAAGGTGATCAAGCTTCAGATATGCTCAAAAACCGTCTTTTTCAAGCAGTCAGTAAAACGTTCTTTGCAGAAAAATTACAAATGACGTTCACCAGCTGCTAGTTGTTCTCCATCTCAGTAGAGTATAAGATTCCTCGTCTGGCCACTTGCATGATCATCTATCGGTTCACCTGCTCATGTGGAGCAAGGTATATTGGCAGTAGCCTGAAGACGCTTTCCCGACAGATACGAGAACTTCTTCCAGCAGCATGGTTTCCCAAGGGGGATAGGAAGAGTGTGAGGAGCTCTATTCTAGAACACATGATCGACACCTATCACTCTGCCAGTCCTGACCATGATTTTACGATCGTCTACCGAAACCACACTAACTTGCTTCATTTTCGTCGTTACTGACTTCTTAGGAGAGTGTAGGCCTTGGCAATTCATGAATCTAAGCTAGACCTTCTAGGTATTTGAACTAGCCAGCTTTACTCCCTGGTTTCGCTTTCTGAGTGAGTTGAAAACACTCTTCGTAATTCGTGACTGACTTAAACAGCGATATTGTGGTGAGAGCTGGCTGCTAGCCAAAGTTGGTAGACAGTAATTGACGTCAATGATTCTTCACTACAACCAAAATCATCGTCATCGTGGCTGAATCACACAACTCATCCATCAGTTTCGTCAAGTGAATTTCAGAGATAATGTGACCTGCATGTATCGTGTTTACTCATTCATATCATTGATATTATGAAAACGCAAGTGTACACAGTGTGAGTGTAGATATCTTTAAAAAGTAACTGACCTTGTCAGTTGTGTTCATAATCAATGATCACCATCACACACATAAAAATAACGCGATGAAACAATTTACACAGGGCGGAATTGTTTTTGTGATTCAAGGTCATTTTCTTGCACTGTTTGTTTAATGAAAATTTGTCAGTATTACTAATTATTTGTATTTTATTAGTGATTTCATGGAATGAGAGTTTTTCAGCCGGAATATTGTCTCGAATACAAAAGAGCAGTGAGAACTGCAGGCGATTCAGTTGGACGAATTTCCTGCACCAACACACTGATTCAGTTCACATATTGCACATGAGACGACTGACTTCACTCACAATTCAACTGAATCCTTTGTACCTCACATTTGGTCTGCCTGAAGGCATTTCTTCACTGTTCTTTGTGTACATTTCACTTCGAATTTGCAAGATCAGTGTGTGCTCGAAATAGCGCTAGAAAGCTTTATTCGAGATCTTCACAAACCCACTTATTGATTCAACGTGGAATTTCAAGGGATATGATTGCACACGAGTGAAAATGATCCTTGTCTCAAAATGATCAATGCGGTTTTTGCATAATACGAGAGAATATAGCAGCTACTCTAGATTAAGTGTGCAAGTGATCCTAGTGAATCCATCAGCTCTGGTGTGAATTAAAGCAATTCTACCCAAACAAATCATTATGGTGAGCATCAAGATAGCTGTTTTTACTGAGAAGACTTCTTCATCTACCATGATTTATATCGACCCTCCAGACATTCTATCGAGGTATTATATGAAATATTTGTAGTTAACGGGAATAGCAATGATGTAGTTGTGTATACCATTCAGCTGAATGATGTCCTTTCGAAACTCTCATTGGTCTGTCAGGCAGCTAATCCATACCACACTTTGAGATTTCTGCACTAGTTCATCAGTCTGCGCTCCAGGCGACTGTGAATGTCATGATTTTCTTGCTTTTCTCCATTTTCACACCCTCTATTCTAGGTATTGATGTCACACACAAACTGAAAAGATCACTCCAGTCGGCTGGTTTTAAGTCAAGTGAAAGACTCAACAGTGAAAGACAAAACCAACATCATCGACAAATAATGTTGCCACGAGTGAGATAAACACCACATTAGCCAAAGTGGACGTCCTGTCTGGCCGAACATCTACAAGCAAAATCTTGCAAGATGCGATGATATCCACCATCACATATCGCTGCATTCAGACAACCACGGACATCATTTCGACTGGGACAATCGACGCTCAGATATTCGGCGAAAGAAACGCTAAGTACTCCAGAGAATTTGTAGTGATCTTGGATTCAAGTGAATCGGTAAATAACAGGCACATGGACATAGATAGATCTCACCAGTCAGTTAGAGGAAAATCTCATGCACAAAATGTAAAACTCGAGGTTAAGGAAACAACCAATATGAATACCATTAGACTAGAGGGTGTGAACACGGAGAAGAGCAACCAATCACGACATTCGCAGCCGACATGACGAGCGACTGATAAACTCGTGGAGAAATTTCAAAGCCCACTTCGACAAATTGAAGTGTGCGCTGAAAATGTGGCCGAGTAAGGCTGTGAAGCACTCACAAGTACACCATGCAGCATAGACAACTCAAATGCATCGAAAACATTCTACGACGGAACTGCATCTTCACGGAATATTACAGCGTCCATATAAGCTCTTTTGGTGAAAACAACTCAATTCATATTCGGCTGAATCACTGTGAAACACTGTGTCCTTGAAGACTTCACCTGCTTTTCTAAAACGGAGTAAACGACCTAACTGAATGCAGCAAGCCATGGAATGATTCACTCACAAGAAGAAAATGATGACGTTTTGTGTAATACTACAATGAAATAATATTTCCAAATGATACTCAAGTGTCACAAACTTCATGTGTTCGCCACTGCATGAATTCTTCTTACTATTCGGATTAAAGTATTTCTGCAGATTGACGGATTTCATCGCACCAATCAGATTCCGCCGATTCATTATGTGAGTCACGTGACATAATGAGGCGTTGTTTAACTCACCAATCAGAACACTCACCTACACTGTTCCACAAATGAACGATGAAATTATGATTATTGTAATCAACCAATGATCAGATTACAACGATAACTGTGACTGCTTGTTGTGGTATAAATACAGGAACGGAAAGTCAGTTACCATAAGAAGATGGTCTACTTCACATACAGCCAAGTAGCTTTCGTCACTGTGTTGGCATTCGCAGCCACTATTTCAGGTAAGCATTTTCTCAAAAGATGGTATATTTGTGGCTTAATCTTTACGAAATGTCTGACTTATTCACTGGCACCGGTCGCTCTAACAGTTCATTCTTTCTGGTGAGGCTTTTACTTCGGAATGATTACTTTCGCATATGATTTCATCTCGAATTCATCTTGCTTGATAGATGGTGACCGGAAGTGCAATAGTACTCGTTGTGGCGTTTCTCCTCTTAATTCTGCCTCAGAGACTATGTATATTAACAGTTGTACAGTGACATGCTTTCTCATTACGACAGTGTTTTCGGCTAAAAATTCGGAAGACTGCCCGAATACACATTTTGAGATGATATGTTTCTGCACTGCAACGGCATACATAAAGCCCTCTCAAGTGGACAAATTGTTCTGATAATCTTCAGTTTTCTGAAACTTCTTCTTGGATAATAATTGTCGTTAACACTTCCTCATTTCATTTCAAGTCGAATCGTTGAATGAAAAAGAAATTAAATTTATACTAAACAGAATTAAAGGTAAGAATGAATAACGTTCATATTACATGTGGTTATTAATCTACTTGAGAATTTGTCAAATCATAAATAGGGAATAACGAAAGTCTTACAATGATCGTTGTAGCCATGGTCTTCCTGGACGAATCGAAAATTGTTATAATATCATTAAAGAGAGTGTGGAGAATGATTGGCGTACCTGACTTTCCTTCAGAAGCTATTTCCAATGTGTATTATCCATTTGCACTCAGTCATCTTACGTCACATATAACAATTCATTCTAAATATTCTCGTCTCTTCACAGATAAAATACCCGGAGTCATTTCAGAGCTCAAAGCTGCTGAAGGGAGAGTACAAAATATTACAGGTATATATAACATAAAGCCTGATTGTTGATAATATTTTCATGCTGACGAAAATATGCTTCGAATTATTCTTTCGAAATTATTCCTAATGATGACATCAATCATGTCATCTAGTATGTAGTGTATATCGACATAACTAAAATACACGTCTCCACAAGCTGTAAACTTTCAACGCTTTCGCTTTTCTGTTTCTTAGCCAAGATTCTTAGTCAGAGGGCAAGCTTACGAGGACAATTAGAAAAGTGTAAGCAAACCGTATCTTTTGAAATGATGGACAACCTATTTTAGATACGGACTGCCTGGAAACTGCATACAAATACAAGTGGGGACAACTTACATTTAATGGTGCGTTTTAAGAAACTCCTTCCATTTAAAACATAATTTTATTCGCGAAATTTATTCACTACACACTATGCTTGCATTTGATGAGTCAGAATTCACTTTCGTTATACACTGACAGTTGATGCAATGCTCTCTCACTGATCATTTCAATAATATACGTCTCTTCGACTGTGGAGTGATGAATCTTTGCAAGGTTATTAACTGAAAAGTGATCAGAGCCGCTAAATGTGCCAACGTCTTTCTATCTTTCTTAGAGATCGTAGACGAAATCTACCGCAGTGAGCTAGATATTTTGAATTATTTCTATACTTATCGACCATCATAATTATTTCTCGTCAATATTATGGCTAAAAGTCTTCACCTGGCTTATATTCACGCGTAAACATCTCAACTATTATTATTTCATTCATGTATTTTATTTGTTAACGTCAAATGAAGATGGAGAATTTCCTCATGCACCGATAAACATGAGGAAGTGATTGACCATAGATGTTTGCCTGTTGTATTTTTCATTTTCGATATTCGTTGACAATCTACCAAGTAGTAAACAAATTTTATTCGCCTCAATTGTGATTGTGTCTGTGTTAACTATGCATAGATGTGTATCCGTATTATACTTAAAACAACAAAAGTGGATTGAAATGCGTGAAACTAATTTATATTTACAGGTGATCAAGGTGCGTTGGATGACACAAGACGTTGTTGCCAACAAGAAGCTGCAGCATATCATGGTGAGTAATATTTTACTACTCTAATCGGTTGGTTTTATTTTGTCTGTGCGGAGTAACGATTTCGGAAATTTCAGTCTTCACATAATGAAACAGTTTTCCTACTTATATTCACCCACAAATAGAAAAAATGGAAGCGTTTCCTGTAGACGAATGTCGCAAAATTCTACCTCCAGCGAATCGAGAAGGTATTCTTTTTTTCCTCATTTAAATTCAAGATAAAATGAAAAACATTTTAACGTACACCTACGATGAGGGTATATTTGTACATGTCACAATACCTTCATCATGATTTGAATTCATGAACATCCACCTAGTATTGTACAATATAGTCTATGATGACGATTCTCCAAGGGTCGAAAAATTATGTATGGAGGAGGATGAAAAACTTTAGTGTTGGTCTAGGATGAGGTCAGTCGTCTACAAATGAAATTGTACAGATGGTAAGAACATGAGTAGAAATACACGATAAAAGACAATCTGGTGAACGTGATAATGGATGAGTACAAGTATAATGACCTGATGACTGCAGTTCGGACTTCATGCAGGTGGATGAGTTTATGAAGTAGTCAATTGCTTGAATCTGTGCGTGAAACAGATTGTTTTGCGTCATTTCATGTCACGTAATTTTGTGTTCAAAACTCATAATTTGATTTTGAGAAACCCACCCTGGAAGATAACTTATTTCATGAATTATTTCAGATCTGAAGGAACTGAAAGAACAAATCGAAGGAGTATTCTACCATAACTACTTGTTTAGCGCTCAAGTTTGTGAGTTCATTTTCTCCGTATAATTATTAGTCAGTGTCTATCTAATATCAGTTATCATACGAACTCAGTGACAGATAACAATCTTTTTTACTGATCAATTCACCTTTCCCAATATGTTTCATCATTTCTAGTTTACAAGAACTCTTACACAACCCTGTTGAAGTCGTTGACAGGTGAGATATATTTTGCATCAACTTCCACTGTCAATCATACGAAATTGACACGCGAGGATAAGGCCCGTTAATATAGCCCAGGTCAGAATCTCCAAGACACGAATACGCCTGTTCAATCGAGTAATGAAAGCATCATCAGTGGCGTTGTCAGTTACCGTGTGGATATTGTGCAATGAATAATATCGTGGCAGTTCTAAATAGACGGTATCGTGAATGTATGAGAATACACATTCACATTTCATAGGCGTCCCTGAGGATAAGCAAGCAAGCCAGCGAATTCAACACGAGTCATAGTGAATTACTGAAAGAGAGCAACTCATGTATTCAGACAAATAATGAGAACTGAAAGTGTCACTCATTGAAAATATTCAGAATTCTCCAATTGTATGAATAAGCACACAGTTCACCATTAATCATCCTCCCCTCCAATATACGTGTTTCTTGATTATTTCATTACTAACACTTCTCCCAACATTATTGCTGATTTAATTTACTCTCATACAGGAAAGTGAAGAGGGATGTACCAGGATGAATGCCAAAGTCAGCGTATTACTGAACACATGTAGAATGTAGAAGCTTTCGTAAATATTTTTTTTTTTGAATTAAATTAAATAAATCACTCATCTGCTATACCGCTTTCTCTTCATGAATTCAAACTATTATTGCTTTGCTGGTTGTGATCCGGTGTGGTTAATATTCGAAGTCGCTATGGAAGATTTTGTGGTGGGCTGTCGTCGTCGGGAATGTGGTAGTTCGAGGCTGTTCATAAGGTGGCTATTAGGATACTGATTCTCTTCTGTAGAATGTTCGTTAGATACTTCTGAGAGGGGACAGCGTTTTCATAGCACAAACTGTACGTTGTGTTATTCACACACTTGAACCCTGTGATAGATACAATTAGATCTCTTGGCAAACCAAAGCTGTAGTTGGCCAATAAGAACTATGTAATAGTCTAGGGCGCGAGCGCCATATTGTTCACGGGATTTCCTGGTCTTGTCTATTTCAGCACTGTGATTATCTCGCTTAAATGCGGCTTTTTCATTATCATTTAATTCATGGCTCAAGAGACTCAACAGAATGAACCTCGTGGATCCATTAGCTTGCGAAATTCCCAGTTGCAATATCCTAACTCACCAGCAATCGCTAACAATTGCTCATCTTCTAGTGATATTCACACTGCACACCAGATATCCAGTTCCTCTGTTAAATTGCATACACTGACACCCGTTTGTACACTGACTAACAATAACCAACCAATTCAGTATATTGGGTCGGAGGCCAGGACTGTATGCGTCCCTGTTTGTAGTTCTCATTCATTATATCCCCACTCGGTTGTACATCGTGCATCTCCAAATTCAAATGTTGGATATAACTCTGGATCTATGACTCATGCTCATTGCAGCACTTCAAGTGGTCAGCCGGATATGCTGAGCTATGCAGAACTATTTCCATGCAACAAGTGAACAAAGCACGATGAAAAGTATCTTGTGATAGCAGTGGTCCAAGATCAGGACGTACACGACGTGTTTGATTTGAACTACTACTACTTCTACTAGTACTAGTAGTGGTAGTGTTGTTTGAAGAACTAGACAAAGGAGTGACACCATCGAGTCGTTTTTCAATCCTACGAATTTCATCCATCAAAATACGCTCTAAAGCCAGATAGTAAAGTGGATAGCATAGCTGTAAACGTTGTTGTGCAGCAGAAACAGCTAAACTAGTTGCTGTTGACGTTGGTGTCACTACTACTACTACTAGTAGTAGCAGTAGTAGTAGTAGTAGTTGAAGTTTTTAGTCCAGCATAGGCACGTTGAAATTGTACACCTAAGTCTTCAAGCCGTTGACAGATTACAGGAAAGGGGGATGTTGAACAATGCGCTTTAATTAGATCAGCTAAGGCTTCACTTGGCTCTTTATTTCGACCATTTAATAAGATTTGTAATTGATTGAGATTTTGACTTCTCGCCTCCGGATTGCAGAAATTAACACCTCCGTTAAGACGACTGATAGTTACAGCATTGGCATTACCACGTCGTGTAGTTTCAGTAAAGCCACCAAAACCTGAATTATTCACCTCAAGCATATATCGACGTGCAGATAGTGTTAAGCCTGCAGGTAAATGAAATTCCGATTGTACACAACTTTCTCCAATCGACCCAATCTCTTCAGCTGCATTCGGACTAAGATAAATACGTTCATCGAAATCTCCAGTTCCAATGATGTATTCTTCATAACTATTATTTAAATTTTGAAGTGTTGCTTCAAAATTTTCTGGTTCTAATAAACTTCCAAGAACCGAGGGATGAATTTTTATTAACTCTTTTTCGATTAATCGCGCCATGAACGTTCGGAAAAAGTGCTGTTTCACAGTTTTACACTCAACATAATTAACATCGTTATCCTCACATATTGGACGCAGCATACAGGTCGATTGATCATGCGGTGGACACCAGGTTTTGTTTTGAGCGACTGCATTTAAAAAATCCCTGGGCAAACCATTTTGTTCCATATTGATTAAATCACGTCTTCTGGAAACCATAGTTGCTCCTAACACCCAGTCTAAACAACACGCCAATAAGTGGTAGGAGTTGACCAAATCATCTGTGACTGCTGGAAAACTCGCTCGAGACTTAATGAATAACAGCCACGTCAATAGGAATAAATCTGAACCCGTAGGATGCATTTGACTAGTTTTATAATCCGTGTCGGAAAATAGGACACCAAATGACCGACCGAAATTGCGGAAAACTACAGACGAAACAGAAAATTGACGCTCCAGTAGTTCGAGACGGTCTCTCATCTCATCCGCCATATCAGTCATGTCAGCCCATTTCCTAACGCGATGAAAGAATTGAACCATGCTCATTTTAGCCGTAGACAGCAAACGTGACAATGAAACGTAGGCGTTTTCAACATTCCCTGACATTCCATCTGCTGTTGAGCGCCGACAGCACTCGTATAATGAGCATACTAGCCACTGGAATTGATCGCCATCAATTGAATAATTTGCCCAGACATCTTTGTACTTTTCTCAGGCTTCTTCTCTAACGTTTCCAGTTTTGCTCTCCATCACTGATAACAAATAGATGCATCTGAATAAAGACACGCCGGATGATATCTAGATATGCTGAAATGTCTGTAGAATGAATATCCATAAATCTGTATGTAACGGGCGATGCCGAATAGTATGGTTGTAAACAGAGGAAACCGTTTATTGCATCCCGCTGTCTGGCTATTCGAAACTTCCTTAAGAGACTCACAGTCACAAAGCTCGAAAAAGGCAGCTAGAAGTTTGGTACTAGTTGTAAAATATGCGGGGTTGTATTGAACGTCGATGATAATAACATGGAAAACTCAAAATTACCCCATCAGTATCGATAGGCAGCTATATGGGCCAAGGAAATTTCAAGCCCAGAACAAGTAGTGTAGGGCTGAATTAGTCAGCCGGAATTTGACCGTGGGGAATACGTGACAATCAAGTTAAATATTCACTATAAGGTGGCGTCAACACTCCTTTCACAAAAGTCACACACCAAAGATTCAGGACTACAGACAAAAGTCAAAATCATCATGATTCTCTCAAACTAAATCATAAATTGAACCAACACATTTTCAATGTATCTTACAACCACAAATAGAAGCAGTGAGATTAGAGATCTAACAGGGAGAAAGACAAATAATAGGCATGAAGGGAACACATAATATCCTAGTGTAACTACAATCATGCGTAATCCAGGAGAAGAGAGGATGATAACTACAAAGTTAGTTGAAATATCCAAATAAGGATAATTATTTCAACTAGATTGTTCACGAGAGAACTTCTGAACAACTACTCCGTCATACTATAGCCTTAAGCATTCGTTACAAATCGAATAGACTGTTGAGAATATAAGAGATTGACAAATCGACCACATTTGAATCGAAACGTGAAGGTTGATAAACGTGTTGGTAAGAAATCACACTATCCTTGAGTGAGTTTCTGAATAGTGATTGCAGGAAACGCCGGAATGGAGTTTGAGGGAAATCGTTAATACTGACATGTGTTCGTCCAGTTTCCAAAATGTATTCCAAGTTAAATATCCTGCACATATTAGACGGCATATTCCTATCCTGTATATCACGTATAAATCAGTGTTGAAGAATCAGTATTTCGAAATTCAGGTGAGCTTATTGAAATTGACAGAAATTTTCGGCATCTGAAAAATCACGCATATCTGACATGAGTGTTTCATCTTTCTTCCCCTGCACATCACATTAGCACAGTATTTAGCAAATTCATTGATGAAGTCATCAACCAATTTGACACCATGTGTAATGCATCTCACATCATGCAGCTATTGTGGAATTATCCACAAAGGACGACGACCTGTGAAGTCTGCTTGTGTAAACGAGACACTGTAGCCTCCAGTGACATCAGTTCTGTCGTGCATACCGCGTCGGGTGAATCAGCAGGATGATATGCAGAACTGATCACCATATTCACTAACTCCCTCATTTGTGCATATCTGTGAGTAACCTAGACAGTTGATATCTGCTTCCTGACTCATTCGCCAATCACTCATTGATTTAACTCATCAACTAGAGTGAATACTTTAAAAAGATACACGACATGCAAAGCTTACCTGAGACAAAGGAGTTATCGGCATTTAGTTGAGCGGATTCTTTATGGTCGTTTCAATTGATTTCACGATGAATCTGTGAAGTTTACTTCATAAAACGATTCTGCATCATTGATTTCATCCATCCCACCTGATATCGTGAACTACATAGATTTTAAATTCAATTTGTAATTCACCATGGGTTATTTCTGATTATAACTGTAAACACTGGAAGTGCTATGCTGAGGATGGCTCAGTGATCTACAAATGACCTGGAATTTTCTTCCCAGTCACGAAATATTCTTGAACATTCACAGAATCGAAACGTTCATATGCCAAATACTCAACTGTGGATAGAATGGCATTTCGGATGTGTCAGTTACACCATGAATCTTAAATGTGCATCCTAATTTATCTTTCATTATACATAGCCAGTTGCACTGATACAATCAGTAGTTGTATATGTCAGTCGTCGGGTATTAACTCCGATTTCGTGAATACATTCATTGAACATTTCATATATGCATACGCTTTTTTGCACCGAATCTCCACTAAAGACTAAACATCAATCAGCGTTGCTTTCAGTTATTCAAACATGTTCGTCAGAGCAATGAAAGCATAGGCAAGCACATTACTGAGGAACATATTAGGCCAAGAATATTAATGGAGTACTTCTTATGATGAAGTGGAACATTGAGAATAGAATCAGGCATTCGATCTCACTCTCACTTATATATCTTCATTCAGTCTTTGTTCTCGTCTCTGTTATACTAGTCGTGAACATGATACCTACAGGGAATGGTGTTAACAGTGAAGATGTAAAGTAGAGTCTAATATGTTTTTCACGATGGATGTTGAAATGCTATTGCGAGTAACACATGTGAAAATATACAAGGCGCTTCAATTTTGATTGAGTTGAGCTGTCTGATGTGCGACAAGTGATGTGGATCAGTGTGAGAGAGTACAAGAATTGATTCAGTCAATTGAGCTTCAGTTTTCACTGATCTCACCGATAGATTCTACACACTATGT